CAATTCGGGATTTTATTTATTACACAAATATCTAGTAACTTTAGTCATTGTTCTTTGCGCAGATTACTTATGTTAATTCCAAGTAGTTTAGAGTCTCAAATGTCAGAGTTGATAATTCTGTTTTTTAGTTTCGGAATAGCGCTACATTGTGTGAAAAACGGATCTCTGAAATGTCGTGTTTAGCGTTTTTGACAACAAAGTCCGCGTGTGAAATTCGATACATGATCCAATTTTGTGTTCAAGTTTTGTGTCCAATGGAACGTTGTGTCAGCCCGTACAGCGTTTTAGAAATAGTTACTTATCATAATAGTGTTGACGTGGTTTAGTCATTTTACACAGTATCGTTTTCACTTTGAAAATTTAAGATCCATTGACGACGTTAGCACTTTACTCAATTGAAAGGAGTGTTGAAAATTCGAAACATGTAGAAACAATAAATGTAAAATTACAGGTGCTTATTTGTTTCGGATATTTGCGCAATGCTACACAAGGGCTATCTGCGCAAGCTGTCTCTAATTTTGAACCAATAAACTAAACGTAAGATAGCACCCACTGCAGTTATTCAGCCATGATTGTCCGACCGAATAGTAGGATTTGACTATCACTCTTATCACGCATTCACGGCCACAAAGTACAGATCACAGTTTTGCGGCAACAGAACGCGAAACAAGGACCTTTGGATTCACCATCCAGCACACTAAACACTATAAGCCACGACTTGTCTGTATAATCCACATCAATTAATCAAGCCCACAGAGAGACATCGCTAGAGGTTTGTCAGTAGTGGTTTCGCATTCTTGCAGAATGTTTTTACATAATTGGTATTATTTTTGTTCAACTTATATTTTTGACACTTAACATACGTATTAAACGAGACAGTGAGCTATACACCACCTTCATAATAACCATGGCATATTTTAATACATTAAACTCGTTAAACGTGATAGTAATCTACTGTAACATCAAACTGGACAAATGACACAGAAATCTGTTGACAAACGTTAAAATAATCTATTCATACTAAACATAGTAAATATAATATTAAACAAGACAAACGTTAAAATAATCTATTCATACTAAACATAGTAAATATAATATTAAACAAGACAAACGTTAAATAATTTATTGACCACCTTCATATTAAGCATAGCAAATATAATATTAAACTAGACAAATGTCACAATGAACTAAATAATCACAAACGTCATATTAAACTAGACAAACGTTAAATAATTTATTAACCACCTTCATATTAAACATAGCTAATATAATATTAAACTGGACAAATGTCACAATAAACTAAATAATCACAAATGTCATATTAAACTAGACAAACGTTAAATAATTTATTGACCACCTTCATATTAAACATAGCAAATATAATATTAAACTGGACTAATGTCACAATGAACTAAATAATCACAAACGTCATATTAAAGTAGACAAACATTAAAATAATCTATTCACAACCTTCTTATTAAACATACCAAATATAATATTAAACTGGACAAATGTCACAATGAACTAAATAATCACAAACGTCATATTAAAGTAGACAAACATTAAAATAATCTATTCACAACCTTCTTATTAAACATACCAAATATAATATTAAACTGGACAAAGGTCACAATGAACTAAATATATAATCACAAACGTCAAGTTAAAGTAGACAAACATTAAAGTAATCTATTTACAACCTTCTTAATAAGCATAGCAAATATAATATTAAACTGGACAAAGGTCACAATGAACTAAATATATAATCACAAACGTCATATTAAACTAGACAAACGTTGCAGAAAGCTGGACAACCTTCACAGTGCAACAATACGCTAGACAGTTGTAATACTAAGCACGAAGACTATGATATTATAGCAGACAAATGTAATGATACACTAATAACCTTATACTAAACACGGCAAACCTTATATTAAGTTAGACAACCATAACATTAGACATGGCAAGCATCATACTCAACTAGACAAGTGCCATAGTAAGCTACAAACTTTAAACTAAACGTTAAAAATATAATATTATAATTTACAAACGTCACAGTAAGTTAATCAACATTCAGGCTAAACAAAACATAAGCCCTCCCAGTGGCACAGCGGTATGTCTGCGAACTTACAACGCTAAAAACCGGGTTTCGATACCCGTGGTGGGCAGAGCACAGATAGCCCATTGTGCAGCTTTGTTCTTAATTACAAATAAACAAACAAAACATACGTTATATTAAATAAGGCGATCTCTACAGTAAACTAAACAACCTTCATATTAAACATTACAAACATCACATTAAATCTGGGAAACAATATTAAAATACACAAACATAACAGTAAGACAGATGATCTTTCTGCAATTTGTGACAAATGTTGTATTAAATTTGCCACTAAACATCGTAAGTATCATATTAAATTAGACAAATGTTATATTAAATTTGCCACTAAACATCGTAAGTATCGTATTAAGTTAGACAAATATTATATTAAATTTGCCACTAAACATCGTAACTATCATATTAAGTTAGACAAATATTATATTAAATTTGCCACTAAACATCGTAACTATCATATTAAGTTAGACAAATTTTATATTATTAATAGAAATGCATTCGATAACCACGATACGTCATTTTAGCTGCTACGTAACACCAGATTGATACAAATACTTTACTAAACTAGAAAAACATGAATTTATTCACAACAAACTTCACATAAAGCTAACAAGTCGATAAATGATCAACTTGACAGGATCCTACTTTTTAATATGAGATACGATACATTTCTCTTTTTTGGTTCAGAAGTTTATTCACTGCTTTTTTTTTAATCTCTACAATTACTAGAAATAGAAAGTGATAACAAACTTTTCTTAACTAAGTGTTCTTCAGAAAGCCATTTAATGTGTGTGTGTGTGATAAAACACTGTAATGTTTATGTGTTCCGTAAGTAAGATATATTTATTTTTTAATGTTAATTTCATTAACAGCATTGTTTAGAATGTTCAACATGTCTATATTTATTTTTAACATTATATTTTAATTATAAAGATTAGTTTACGGATTTTGGGCTAATCTATATCTTCTAAGCTGGCCGGACTTTGAGATATTATTAGGATTAAGGCCGAAAGGCTGATGAAATAATGTATTTTAGTCTTTGTAAGTACGAACATAAGGATGGTATATTTAATTGTTTATTTACGATCTATGTAATAGCTCAATTTCATTAGAAGTTAATATTAATGATTTATATAAGGATAGTAATAATCTGAGTTTATGCACAACTAGTCAAAAGATATTGGTCCGAGTTTGTATGTTGCCCAATAAAAGATTGTTTGCTAGCCTGAACGTTTGGTCTGGTCAATAACGTTTTCACTTTCCATTCACAGGATAGCCGGACTGTAAACATGACCGGAAACATATTATAAAACCCGATAAGTGGCTACACTTTCTTAAGTAAATTCTGGACGAGCCAAAGGCTACATTTACAGCAAGATAAAATAATTAATCGTTCACTGGTCTGTTTGTTGTTAAGTGCAAAGTTATTTGTGCTGTGCCATCGCATATATAAAAACCCAGTTTTTAGCGTTACAAGTTTTCATACTTACTGCTGTGCACCTGGGGGGGGGGGGGATATTATTATTCAGAAACATTAGGCTTCATTAAGCCTAATTTGAAATTTACCATGAATTTTCATTGCGTTGATAATTCTTTATTTTAATATATAAACATTTTTAAAAACACGTGGTGATAAGTTTTAACAAATAAGTATGTTTAGAACAATGTCTTGAAATATAAATATAAATTCTAAGTTACACAAGTAAGACTCAAAGAATTGAGTATTTTTTTAAGAATGTCATTATCCACACAGAGTAATTGAAAAGAGAATCAACAAAACTAATTTAAATCTAATAATAAAGAAAATAAAATGGTTTATTTGAATTTCGCACAAAGTCACTCGAGGGCTATCTACACTAGCCAAAGTAGCCAAATATGTGATTAACTTCAAAAGACACTATAATAACAACTTTACAATAAACACTACATAACTTATAACAGTTTCACAACAAGAACGGCAAATATTACATCAAGCTAGCCAAATATCAAATTAACAGCTAAAGTTATCACATTAACTATTATAAACAATTCGTTGAATTATATAAACGTCAGATTAACAAAGACAAGTATCACATAAAATTAGTCAAATATCAAATTAACAGCTAAAGTTATCACATTAACTATTATAAACAATTCATTTAAATACATAAAAGTTCCATTAAGAAG